TTTTTTTGACGGAGTTTCGCTCTTGTTGTCCAGGCTGGAGTGTAACGGTGTGATTTCAGCTCACTACAGCCTCCACCTTCAGGGTTCAAGCCATTTTCCTGCCTCGGTCTCCCGGATAGTTGAGATTACAGGCGCCCACCACCACACCCAGCTAATTTTTGGTATTTTTAGTAGAGACGGGGTTTCGCCATGTTAGGCAGGCTGGTCTCGACCTCCTGGCCTAGGGTGATCCGCCTACCATGGCCTCACAAACTGCTGGGATTACAGGCATTTCCCACTGTGCCCGGCCAACAATGCAATTTTTTAAACTTAAGAACAATTTATCCAGAATCAGAGTGTGGCTGCTGATGCCCCACAATCCTCTGGCTCACACCTGATACAACTTCTGTGAAACAGCAGGAGACTGACACTTTCCAGAAGTTGTGAAAACCCAAGGGTGGGAGGCAAGACACCAAAAAGGGTAACATTAATTTGAAGGTGGCTGGCAGGATGGTTCAGTGGAGCACTTTAAGTTTTAAAAGTATCAACCATATAGTGGACAACCCAGACTACTCGGGACATAGTGTGAACAGCAGGTACATTAAGGAGGGAAACCATTTCCAACGCCCAGTAAGATAAAAAGACTACACAACTGAAAAAGATGGTTAGAGCTAATGTGTTACAACAGAGGACAAGTAATCCCTGCTGAAAATGAAAGCTGCTACTGTAAAACTGTGTTTGTAAAGATTACAATCCTCATAGTGGAAAGCCATGACTTAGTTCAGCCACAACTTGACTCGAAAAGTATTTTTCTCTATTGTTTGATCTCTTCCCATTCACTCCACAATCTTTAGCGTACATAAAGGAATTATTCAGCACAGAAGCATCATGCATATTTTTTTCTAAACCAAATGGCAATAGTATATTTTGATCTACATCAAATGAAGATGGAGGTAGAAAATTTTAAATGTGGTGTTGTGAAAATGCCCATTTTCTTCATTAAACCTTGTGTCAATCAAGTTTATATTACTCTGTTTTAGGAAATGTTTATTCTCACTCCTTATTTTAAAAAATAAATCTTGAATACTTTCTTTGATCAGATAGCTTAGATGGCTATTTCTGTTATCACTATGGTTTTATAACTTTGTCGTCAAGGCTTTTTCAGAGACAGGGTTTGGCTCTGTCCCCCGGGCTAGAATGCAGTGGCACTATCACAGCTCATTTGCAGCCTCAAACTGCTGGACTCAAGGAATCCTCCTATCTCAACCTGCCAAGTAGCTGGACCACAGCTATACGCCACCGCATCTATGATGAAAGTTTTATATTTTCCTAAGTTAACTGATCCTGTGTAACTTTCCTTTAAGTCAAATATCTCGTGGTTTGAAACTCTTCCTACTAACAGAGCTGGTAAACAACACAAAGTTAAGAGTGGAAGGGACCTCAGAGAAATAAGAGCTTAATTCCCCTGGTTTCTAAACACAAACAGAGACAGCAAATGATGAGCCAAAAATCTACCAAGCCAGTTTGTGGCAGAGTTGGTACCAGGGCCCAGTGTTGCAACTCTCTGATTCTTTTCAGTCCGTGGCACATCATCAGCCTCCTTCAGAAGCTGAAGGGTAAATGGATAGCTTTAGGTAAAGCATGGTGGTTCAAGCCTCTAGTCCTAGCACTTTGGGAGGCCAAAGCAAGAGTATCGTTTGAAGCCAGGATATAAAGACCAGCCTGGGCAACTTAATGAAAGCCTGTCTCTTGAAAAAAATAAAATAAAAAAGGCCAGGTACAGTAGCTCTTGCCTGTAATCCCAGCACTTTGGGAGACCAACGCAGGTGGATCACCTGAGGTTAGGAGTTCAAAGACCAGCCTGACTAACACGGAAAAATCCCATCTGTACTAAAAATACAAAAATTAGCCGGGTGTGGTAGCACATGCCTATAATCCCAGCTACTCGGGAGGCTGAAGCAGGAGAATCACCTGAACCTGGGAGGCGGAGGTTGTGGTGAGCCGAGATCAAGCCATTTCACTCCAGCCTGGGCAACAAAAGCAAAACTCCATCTCAAAAAAAAAAAGGAGTTTAAAAAAAAAAGAGGGAGAATTTGCTTCTGCAAATCATGAGTCTTCTTTAAAAATACTGTTACGTTGAGACCTCTAACAGGTTAGATCTTTTTTCCCATGAACTCAAAAGACAGGTTTCCTAAACAGTGCTAAGAGCTAGAAATCAAAAGTGCATACCTGACGTATTTGGTTGTAATATTTTGAAAACATTACTGACTGCAGCTGAGAGGGAATGTGAGTAAAAATTCCTGAGAGATGCAGCACTGGCTTCCAAATGAATCTGTATGGACTCTGTGGAGGAAGGAGAAAACAGCGTTAGACTCTAAAGTAGTGCTATCCAACTGAACGTTCTGCAATGATGAAAATGTTCTATAGCTGCATAGAATAACCACTAGTCACATAGGAGGACTTGAAATGGGGCCAGTGCAACTAAAGGGCTGGATTTTTAAAATCTAATTTATATTTATATTTTAGTAGCTCTCTGTGGCTGGCTAGTGGCTATCATGTAGGACAACATAGATAAAATGTTTATACAAATTCTCTCTACACATGTTTAGGCAGATGACCACATGGTTCACAAAATAATATAAATATCCACTGGCTTACTGACAAATTCTCACGGAGTAGAAAGGTTCATGTAAACACAATTACTTAATCTCCACCAACAAATTCCATGTTCTGTGCTTTACAGTTCAAGCAATGTTGTGATTGCTTTATCCTCTCTTAAAATGAAAGAACTACAAAAAGAGTACAGGTGGCCCTCCATATCTGAGGGTTCCACATCTGTGGAATTCAACCAACTGCCGATCAAAAATATTCAAAAATTTAAAAAAAAGTACAACAAAAATAATATCAATTTTTCCACAACATACTACAACAACTTTTTTTTTTTTTTTTTTGAGATGGAGTTTCGCTCTTGTTGCCCAGGCTGTAGTGCAGTGGTGCGATCTCGGCTCACTGCAACCTCTACCTCCTTGGTTCAAGCGATTCTCCTGCCTCAGCCTCCTGAGTAGCTGGGATTACAGGCATGCACCAAGATGCCTGGCTAATTTTGTATTTTTAATAGAGATGGGGTTTCTCCATGTTGGTCAGGCTGATCTTGAACGCCTGACTTCAGGTGATCCAACCACCTCGGCCTCCCAAAGTTCTGGGATTACAGGTGTGAGTCACCACACCCAGCCTGCAACAACTACTTACATAGCATTTACATTGTATTAGGTATTATAAGTAATCCAGAGATGATTTAATGCATACAGAGGATGTGTATAAGGTATATGAAAATACTATGCCATTTCATATAAGGGGCCTTAGCATCCACGTATGTTGGTGTTCCCGGGTTGGTGGGGGAGGGAGAGACCTCCTATCAATCCCCCACAGATACCAAGGGACAATTCTATGTGTGACAAAATGTAGCACTGAAACTAAAATAAGATTAGAATCTTAACATACTTTTAGAGGAAATGAATTTATCAAAATTAATACCTTTCCCAGATAGAATGATTCTGCAACAATAGTACAGCACAAAAAGCAGATGTTCAAAACTGAAAACTAAAATAATATAGTATGCTTTCCTTTTGAATATGTTAGAAAGGTGAATATGTCCTGAAATGCTAAGGATAACATGGAAACAAAAGTTTATCTTGTGACACATCCACATGCAGACTTGCTCCTGAACAGTAACGCTAGATCACAAATTTCGTCCTAGGAGACCTCCCAACTGTAATTTTAACAGTGTAGTCACACATTAACACAGCTCCTGAGGCACTTAAATAGCATAAGTGTATACAAATCACATCACTGAACAAATTAAGTTGTTCTACTCACCAAGCCCCTGTGGTATATTCTTGGCTAAATGATAAAGCCATTTAACTCTGAGCATCCAATCCTGATTGGTTGCTCTTTCTATGAGCAATTTAACAGCCATGGCCAAAACATCTGGTTCATCGATCCAGTAAGTATCTACTTCAACTGCATTGAATTTCAGGTTCTCAGGGTTGGAGGACTGCATAATTTTCTTTAAGTCTTGCAAGGTAAGAGGCTGACTCCTGAAATTCATTTGAATGAACAAACTCAGTACTAGAATAACCTTTTATTTCATATTCCAAATAAGTGAGAAAACTCCTTTCACAAATATTGGATGAAGGATAAGGAGGAAAGATGAGTCCCCCACAGAGAGACAATTTAAACATATGTAATAAATAATAAATACGGAGCAATATCACAAAGAACAAAACTATGACAGCTGCATAATAAATGGCCACAGAATGTTCCACTTAAATATATTGTATCCTGACCATTTCCAGCAAGAGCAAAAATCAGCCAAGAAACCAGAGACAAAAGCTGAAGGCTCCACCGACCTTGCCCAGCTGCTGGTTTTCATGCTCATCCTGTTGAGACAATATGCTAAGATCTGTCCATCACTTCGGACTGTAGACAGGTGAGAATCTTCAGTAGCAAAGAGAGCTGAGGGCACAGAATCTGGCCACAGTCCCATGGCAAGAATGGAGTCTCCCCAGGTTTCATGTGCTCGAAGAGAAGAAACATGTTTCTCCAGTAAAACCTGTACAAGCTGTTAGGAGATGAAAACACAGTACAGTGGTACCAACATAAAAGTGATACTCCCCAAAGAAACAGCAAATAAAGTAGTAAGAGTTCATGTGATCACCTCACAACTCTTAATACACTCTTCAATGAAAAACACAAGTTAAATTCTATGTTTGCTGATGACAGGTAAGTTTCAAAAAGGATTACTTTACATTCAAGCTATTTTCCAACAAAGTAACTGGATACCAGATCTCTATTAGAGCAAACTGCGGTGGTCAACTCCTTGAGGTCACTGAGGTGCCATCTTTAAAAATAATTTCCTTGTACTCAATAATGTAGGGTATCGCAACTTAGAAATTTTCTGAAATGCTTCATAGTACCTTCCGGTTTGCTGGTGAATGCTGGGAACAGACATATACTTCCCAGCATGCTTCAGAAAAGGCTCTGTCTAAACTCAGCCCTCGCTGCAGGTACTGGACAATTAGTATGGCTGTCTGGATTAGAGCTGATACAGAAGATGTTGGAGAACCTATTAAAAAAAAATTGCCATCTATAAACAATAGTCTTTAAAACCTCCAATGAAAATGGATAAATTTTACCCTCCCATCAAACTTCCTTCCACTTAGCCCCACCCAGATACTTATTTTAGGAAACCTTCTAAATAGACTCTAGAGTCCCCCAAAGGCTCAATGGACCTGTAGAGACCTTTGTATTCCTAGCTTCCTGTTTCTTTCAGCTAACTGTAGTTTATTACGGGGGACTCATTTACAGATGTGATCAAGCCTGGTCACGTATATCCTTAATCTAATGCTGACACACACTGAAGGTGACAAGTTGAGTATAACCTCATAAAAGGCCATGGGATTTGAAATCCTACAAACCTATTTGCAAACTCCAGCCATTATTCTTAACTGATAAATTACCAAACTCTCTTAGTCTTATCTGGAAAATGAAAGCATATGCCTAGCAGAACTAATGTTAACAACTAAATAAGCAATCTGCATGGGACCTAACGGAGTAGTTACCAACAAGCAATACTTCATTTATTATCTTGCTCCTTTTTGTATAATTGAAGATTTAGAAAAAGTCACACCTGTCTGTTTTAAACAAAGTTTCCTCTTTATTCCAACTTCGAGAGGCTGTTAATGACCAGGACAAATGGTGGGGGCAAACTTCATAAACCTCAAGGCCTAAAGCAGAATTACTCAGGGGTTAGCCTCTGCTTACATGCATCAGAATGGCATAGAAAGTGTCTTTCAGATACTGATTCCTGTGCCTCGCCCTGACCTGCTACCTGCTGAACCCAATCTCTTGGGGTCTTTTTATTTTTTATTTATTTATTTTTTTAATGGAGTCTTGCTCTATTACCAGGCTAGAGTACAGTGGCACAATCTAGGCTCACTGCAACCTCCGCCTCCCAGTTTCAAGCGATTCTCCTGCCTCAGCCTCCCGAGGAGCTGGGACCACAGGCGCACGCCACCACATCCAGCTAATTTTTGTATTTTTAGTAGAGACAGGGTTTCACCATGTTGGCCAGGATGGTTTCAATCTCTTGACCTCGTGATCCACCCGCATTGGCCTTACAAAGTGCTGGGATTACAGGTGTGAGCCACCAAGCGTGGCCAATTCTTAGGGTCTTACATTTAGTGTATATAGATAGAAATTACCAGGAAATTCACATTTTTAACAAGATTTCCTGATAATTTCTATCTCTATATACTAAATGTAAGAAATCTTTGACTAATAGTCCAATGGAATAACTTAAATTTCTTCAAGACAAAAACTGTGCAAAGGCCCAAAAGTCAAGCACCTCACCTACAACAGTGCTCCGGGTCTCTGTGTGTAGAGCCAAGAGGATGTCACATACACTGTTCCCCACCAATCCAAGGCTGTGTAGCAGAACTTTCAAATCCAGGTTGTCTGGGGTGCTCACATCCCCTTCTCCTGAAATGTAGATTTCCAGTCCACGATTCCTCATAGCTCGGGATATATCTCCATGAACAGGATCCATTGAGAGAAAAAGTCTAGAAAAACAGCAATTCAAAGAAAATAATTATTTTAAATCCCAGTGCAACCAAAGGTGTAGCTCAGCATGAGCCAGTGAGGGCAACTTTTACATGGCTCATTGTCAGAGAATTCACACCAAGGATCTTTTACTTCTTTTTCTTTTTTTTTGAGATGGAGTCTCACTTTGTCACCCAGGCTGCAGTGCAATGGCATGATCTTGGCTCACTGCAACCTTTGCCACTTTGCCTCCCAAGATCACACAATTCTCCGGCCTCAGCCTCACAAGTAGCTGGGACTACGGGCACACACCGCCACACCCGGTTAATTTTTTGTATTTCAGTAGAGACAGGGTTTCACTGTGTTGCCCAGGCTCGTGGTGAACTCCTCAGCTCAAGCAATCTGCCCGCCTCAGCCTCCCAATGTTCTGGGATTACAGGTGTGAGCCACTGCCCCCACAGGATATTTTACTTCTAACATGCATCAATATAGCAAAATATTTTCTCTAAGCCTACTTTCCTAAGGAAATGTGTATGATATATCCAGTGTGCCTTTAGTGCTGAGAACTTTAAAAATCTAGCCTTCAGATATTCCCCAAGGTAGGCAGTACTAATTCATTATTTTAACTCACCTACAGACAGCAGAACAGAAGCAAGTGTAGTCTCCTGAAACAATCGGTTTCATATACTGAATGCCCATCAACATCTCCATCTAGTTATCTGACACCTCTCTCATTCATGTCTGAAAATAAACAGCTGATTCCCTGTAGGTCCTCCCTGCATTAAACCTGCTCCTTTACCAGTCTTCCCCTTCTCAATGAATGGCAACCCCATTTATCCAGTTACTCAAACCAAAAACAGAGAAGTCATCCTGATTCTTCTTTTTCTCAATCCATAAGTCCATCAGCAAGTCAACCCATCTGACCACCTTCATCTAGGCCACTGTGATGTCCTGCCTAAACTACTGCAAAAGGAATGTGACTGGTATCCCTGCTTCCAACCTTCATCACCAATGCATGGCCAAGACCTCACACCTCTTGTTTATGCTGTGTTCCCAGAGCCCAGCAGTGCCTCAGTAAGTATTAAGTGAATTAATAAATGGTGAACTTGCCCATGACTCAGTTTATAAATAAAATATGTAAGGAAGTCTTAACAAATGTCCACCTCTGCTACTGAGGCTGTCAGATTCTGAGGCAGAAATGTAAGAGACATAAATACCTGAAATTGGGATTTGGTGTTATCGTGGGAGTGGATCCATCTATCATTCCTCTCTCACTAACAGTGAGGACACCTCCAGGTTCAAGCAAAGCATTCAAACGATCCAATACTGATGGGCTGCACAGACAGAATTCAAATGGTGAATAGGCCGACACGCTGCATTGACTCTTCTTTCCTTCCATGCTCGGGACCCAAATGCTTTTTTTTTTTTTTTTTTGAGACAGAGTCTTGCACTGTCACCCAGGCTGGTATGCAGTGGCGCAAACTCTGCTCACTGCAACCTCTGCCTCCTGGGTTCAAGCAATTTTCCTGCCTCAGCCTCCTGAGTAACTAGGATTACCCACCTACCCAGCTAATTTTTTGTCTTTTTAGTAGAGACGGGGTTTGACTATGTTGGCCAGGCTCGTCTCAAACTCCTGACCTCATGATCCGCCCACCTCGGCCTCCCAAAGTGCTGGGATTACATGCGTGAGCCACTGCACCTGGCCTCCAAATGCTTTTGACCCACATTTCCTTTTGGCACAATCACTTACCCAGATACAATAGTGACCTCTTTCCAAAGTATATTCCCCATTCATTTCCCTTCTCACTCCCCAAGGAACATAGCCCAGGGCCTCATACACAGTAAATACACAAGATATTTTTGAATAAAATTAAAGAAAATGCTAATTAAGTTCCCTGCACTATAACCTTTTCATTTTTTCCTTTCCTGCCCCCCCATCCCTCAACATTATCAAATCCATTTAAGGTGACTAGATTTCACTTTGTAACAGTTACATAAATGCTCCACGAAAAATGGCCATCATGTAACTTGTAATAGCTTCTATTATGGTAACTACATATGTACAGTAGTTTCACACTTGTCCTTTACCTTACTGTAAGATCAAAAATGATACATGGTTGAATCGCTGTATCACTGATGCCCATTTACTAAATGCCTGCCTTGTGTCAGACCCTGCATTAGAAAAAATTGCACCAAAGAAACCCTAACAAAAAAAGGGAAGACTTCTGATATTAAAAGTCCTAACTCAAAGGAGGTTGCCAGGAAAAGTAATCCAATTTTGTTAGCCTTTGGTTTGGCTCAAAATTATCATACAGAGCTGAAATGTTATAGTTGTCTAATGATAAACTACCACTGTTCACCACAGGGAGAAGTTTACAGAATATGGTTGAGGATCCCTATGTAATTAATTAAGAAAAAAAGTAGCTTCAAAATACCAGCACTTCTATCTGGGTCTCTACTTTGACAAGCACACTCAGATTTCAAGCTGGACCATTCACGACGAGGCATATGGTTCTTACTTGCAGAAGTTAACATTATCCATCAGAAGCCAGTCTCCGGACTTCAGGGCCTGAACCAACATGCTGTCAACCCATTCGAACGTGCCATGGCTACAGCCGCTGGCCGACTGCGTAAGCTTCACACCAAAGCTTCGGAACTCTTCAACAAGTTTGGCAAACTCTGAAACGTCACAGGGAAGAATCACCATCCATAGCACTTAACTTCAAACCAAGAATTAAGTTTATGAAAAGGAAACTTGTTACTTCTAGCCCAGTTTTTTTTTTTTTAAGATTTCATAATAGAATAAATAGAAGAATACTTTGCTTCTGTTTAAACACAGATAGGAAAGTTAAGTTTAAGACAGAAAATACTTGCTAACGGCTCTCAATTAATAGCTACTCAGGGCTGACTCTAGGATAACAGAAGTGGCAAATGATTTTTCTGTATTACGGTTTGTCAAATGGCAGAAGGAGGATAATGTTCCCCACCTATCAGTGCATTTATGCTAAATGAAAGTGTTATAACTTCACACAGTACAAACTGGGCTTCCTTTATGAGCATATCATATGATTATATTAACTGGTAATTACTTGCTAAGTGCTTTGTAGTTTATATAGCCCTTCCCTAGAAATTTTTCAATAGATCTTTTTGGTTGGAAATTATCTTATGACCATTTTTCATATACAAGGTAATATACATTGCATTTCTACTTCTAAAGATGAGGTAGTAACAAAGTTTAGACTTAATCTACCATTGTTAATTAATGACTAGAAAACTGGGCAAAATATGTGAAGCATACGCTTTAGTATTGGACAATAGGCAGCACAAGACTGCGACATCTGAGGGAAAGAAAAAAAATCAGGTGAAGACCCATAATTGCCCTGGCTTTCTTCCTGGAATCAATTTCTGGATTGCAACGCAGGGAGAGGGAACCCAAACACATCAGGGAGTTCATGGACTTGAACAGACAGAGTAGAGTTCAGGGCAGCTAAGGCAACTTGAATGAAGAACAGAGTACTTAAGTGGAGGGAATTACTCAGAGAAAGAACTCCAAAAATCTCAGTAAGGGCCTTAGAATCTGCATGTGCATATAAAGGGTGAAGCTCTACATGGATGAGCAAAAACTGCCAAAGAAAGGAAAATTACTGGGGAAATGCAAGCTGAATAATTCCCAGAGTTCAAACTGTGCTGAGTATCATTCTAGTTCCCACCAGACAAACTGAAGAGAACTCACTGACTACAAGGACATTCACTAGAGATGCTACCCAGGTCATGCTTCAATAGTGAGGCTAATCCAGCCCCACAGTAAAGTATATTCTAGATTTGATCTTAAAAAGCTTAAAAGTGGCTGGGTGCAGTGGCTCACACCTGTAATCCCAACACTTTGGAAGGTCAAATCAGGGGATCACTTGAGCCCAGGTATTCAAGATCAGCCTAGAGAACACAGCAAGAACCCACCTCTAAAAAAAATTTAAAAATTAGCCAGGCATAGTGGCACATGCCTATAGTCCCAGCTACTCAGGAGGCTGACTGAGGTGGGAGGATTGCTTGAGCCCAGGGGGTCAAGGCTATAGTGAGCTGTGATCACACTGCTGCACTCTAGCCTAGGCAACAGAGTGAGACTGTCTCAGAAAAAGTATGAACATAATGAGAACTATATTTTAAAAGTCATACAAGTTCAGAGAAACATCAAAGGATACAGATAAAAAGTTTAGCCAAATGTAAAATAGCAGACAAATTGCTTTAGTAAACCTTTCACTCTATTAATAACCGTAAGAAATTAATCAATATGAAATAGCCAATCCTAAATAAATAGTAGTATTGGGAATAAGCTGTGAGAATTTACCCTAATATTTAATTTCTAACTGACTTATGAAAGACTTACACACTCACTAGATTAACGGCTTTGGAGGAGGCCTGGATTCAAAACTTAGCTCCTTGTTTCTGGAGTCTCCCCCAGAAACACCCCCAACCCTCCCCCTCCCCCCGAAAAAACACCCTTGCCCAACCACTTGCTAACTGTAAGACTGAAGGCAGTAATTTCATCTCTATGAACATTCATTCCCTCATCTATTAGATGTATATAATCCTTCCTATAATGCAGTGTTATCATGGTGATTAAAAGTACATATATTCAGTACAGTGTTTGCAATAGATACTCATAATTCGATGAGTTTTACAATATCCATTAAAAAATACATGATACACGGCTCCATTGGATATCTTTTATAATTAATTAGAGTGAATGAGTAAAGGATTTCAAGTTCAAATGGCAGGCTTAAAGTGAGAAATGATGGATCAAATCAACAATGAAGAAAGTAAATGAGTGGTCCACAGCCACAGATAAAATGTTTGTTGGGCTAGAAGTGGGATGTCCGATTTCTTCAGCCATAAGGAATCAACATTTTGTAATCAGTTACAAGTAGGCTTTGGAAATAAAGAATGACAAGCATAGTGACAGACCCAGCCTATGGGCCTTCAGGTTCAATCCTCCCTAAGGGCATGCTCACCACCACTCAGAAAGTGGCACCACAGAATGAGAGAAGTTTCCATGTTAATTGGATGGCATACAGAATGATGCATTTCTTCCATCTCCACATAAATGAATAAACACATCCTATGAATTCGGACTTCTATTCTTCAGTTTAAAATGCTCAATTTCCTGAGAAATTACCGAGTAAAAAAAAAGATAGCCAAGAATAATGAAAGTTTTACATGCTGTTTTATCATTATAGGTGATTACACATGAAATAAACCATAAAGCGTGGTAACCAATTATTTTCCTATTTGATTTTTTAGGATCAACTATTCTGAGTACTTTATCTCAGCTTCATTTTATTTTGTAGGCCAAACTTTCCCACAAGTTCTGATTGTTAGTAATCATTAAGTTAATACAAAACGTGAGCATTATATTTGTAAATCTATTATGTGTAAATGGACACAATACAAGCAATGGTAAGTGCCTGATACAGAGATCCAAATATACATACCTGCCTTGGAGTATGAGTTGATTTTATTGTTGAGTCGCTGCATAAGCAATAACACTGCTTCCAGTTTGTTGACAATCTCCAGCGTGATAGTTTTACCGCCTTCTCCAAGACACTTAGGCTTATAAGTCAGAAGGAAGTGACTCCAGGCTCGCAGCACGACTTCTGCATCGTCAGCACTGATAAGGAGGCTGTCCCGCAACAGTGCCCTTACAGCACCCTCTACCTTCTCCAGCAGCTGCCTCCAAGGTCGTATAAGATCAACCTGCAATTTCCAGAGGACATGAACTCATCACAGGGTCAGAGAATACTGTTTTCTGTACTCACTACCAACACAGAAGATCCTTAGTCAGACCACATGGTTTATTATGTTTTGCCCAAAAATATGAAGGCAGACCGGTTACCTGCTCAAATCCACCAAGCAGCTCAGTAGTATCCATTGCACTGTTCATAGCCATGATCTTTAATGTGTGGCCAGTAAGGTGTGCCAGAAGCTGGACCAGGCTGGTCTTGCCCACAGAGGCTGGGCCGACCAGGATGACCATCCAGCTCATCTGCACACACTTCATGATTGACTCCAGGGACTGGAACGACTGATGCAGGAGCAACAGAGGACGGCGGGATGGGTGAGGAACACAGCTGCCACGGGAAAGGACCGAGTAGCCCAACTGCAAAGACATGCCAATGAGATTTCATAAGTGTGCCTGGTAGTGGGAGCAGAAGAAACCATTAAAAAATGTCAAAGGATAGAGGATTATCCTAGTCTCCTTACCTGAACATCATAGGGAGTGATACGAAATAGTCTGGTTCCCATGTATGGGTTGGAATTTGAACCAAACACATCCTTGAATACAGCAATGACCTAAAGGAAGAAGTTAATGCTATAAAAACACAAATCACTCCACCTAATTCTTAGGCAAACTTTCTAGAAAACAAGCACAATGATAAGAGTCACTATTCTAAGAACGCTGGCCACAATTTCCTTATTGTTTTGAATTTTTTTCTTATTAAAAAAAATCGACTGCATTTATTTAATTCTTTGGAATGAAAGTAAATTTAAGATTGAGAACATAGCAGTCATATCCCAACTATGTGAGATTTCAGTGAGAATGCAGCATAAATTAAACTGAAGCCATGGACTCTGTAATATTGAAATCTAGAGACAAAAAAGACTTGTTTGCTTTCATCAATACTACGTAAAAAGAGGACAGAACAGTAAAGACCATTTATTGACCATGTGCTATGAACCAAACACTGTATTAAGTACTTTGGGAGATTATTTCCGTTCCTTATACCCATGTAAAATGGTGATCATGTCCATTTTATATAGCTAAAACTCACAGAGTTACTGAATTTGCCCATGGTTGGTGACTGATTTTAAATCTAAGCCCGTCTGCCTCCAAAAACATGTTAACCCTCCAAATACTTATGTGGATATGAAAACCAAATTTATTCCTCTGATCAATTATTTACTTTGTTATCCTTTCGTCAGCAGTAATACTATTAGAAAAAGTTCTGTTAACTCTCTTTGACTTTGGTTCTCTTTCAAAAATCTAAGGGTAATGGTGGAGGGGGATACAGGTATATAAAAAACATTAATTTAGCCCATAACAGGAGGGAAAATTAGAGTCAAGAAAAAAAAGCATACAAAATTATATATCTAAAAAGCGGCAATACTCATAACAATTGAATACTGAACTGAAGTCAGAAAATAAAAATAATATAGATAAAATCATAATCAGTATCAAATCATTGGAGTGAAACTAAAAGCAGCACAGGAAAGCATTCCTGTCACCTATCTCTGAGTTCAAGTGATACATGACCTCATGTTCCACACTAACGCATATAACCTCAATCCCTGATGTTTTACCAGAGGGTTAAAATTACAAACATTGCTACTCGGGAGGTCAAGGCAGGAGAATCGCTTGAACCCAGGAGGCAGGGGTTGCAGTGAGCCAAGATTGAGGCTCTGCACTCCAGCCTGGGCGACAGAGGGAGACTCCGTTTGGAAAAAAAAAACAAATTACAAACATTTTCCCAATCTAGCTCTTTGGTTTAGCTCTATAAAATCAAACTTCGGCTGGACGCAGTGGCTCATGCCTGTACCTCCAGCCCTTTGGGAAGCTGAGGTGGGTGGATCACGACGTCAGGAAACCATTCTGATCAACATGGTGAAATCCCGTCTCTACTAAAAATACAAATATTAGCTGGGTGTGGTGGTACATGCCTGTAATCCCAGCTAGTCAGGAGGCTGAGGCAGAAGAATCACTTGAACCTGGGAGTCAGAAGTTTCAGTGAGCCAAGATCATGCCAGTGCACTCTAGCCTGGTGACAGAGCAAGACTCAGTCACTCAGTCACACACACACACACACACACACACACACACACACACACACACACAGTCAAAATTCAATTTAACTGGACCCTTCTAGGTTTTACAGACTTTATCCTTCTATAATATTATTTTTCTTGATCTTGTCTCCCCTGCCAGAAAATGCCTATGTGGTCTATTACAATAACCCTGAACTGGAGGAGGATGGAAACCTCCACATGCCACAATGAGCCAGCACCTGACTAATCAATCATTCAACAACTGGCACGTATCTCGGTCATAAGTAATACACTACAGTAAATGAATGAGGAAATTAAAATACTAGCTGATCATGTGAATTATGTATCACTAAAGCTGTTAAAAACCACTAAGACTTTCTTCTAACCAAATGACTGAAAGCTACCTGCATATGATAAATGAGTTAGTATGTGATCAGATTCTGAATACCACACTACAGAAGATCTGGGTGGCTGGGCACAATAGCTCACACTTGTAATCTCAGCACTTTGGGAGGCTGAGGCAGAAAGATCACCTGAGCCTAGGAGTACAAGACCAGCCTGAACAACACGACAAGACCAAATCTCTATTTAAAGTAAAAACAAATTAGCCAGGCCCTGGTGGCATGTGCCTATAGTCCTAGCTTATCAGTGCGCTGGGGCAGGAAGATCCCTTGAGCCTAGGAGGTCAAGGCTACAGTGAGCCAGCATTGTGCCATTGCATTCCAGCATAGGCACCAAGTGAGACTCTGCCTCAAAACAAAACAAAAACAAAAAAACACACAGAATGGGCAGCAGAATAAAAGGGGTGTCAAAGTCACGTGTGTTATGGGCCAGTCACATCTTCACATTTCAACAAGGAGGGTTACTGCTTCGAGTGCATGCATCTAGATATGTATTCATTTATTTTCAAACAGTGAAGTTTAATAGAAGGAAACAGCAGACAAATTGGAGAGGGCCTCAACTGGAAAGCTGGCTCTGTTACCTGTGGCACTCCATGTCTTTAAGCCTTGGATCTTCACCTATAAGAGGCCATGACAGCAACTCCTGCCTACAGCTACTGTGAGCATTCAGCAAGACAGGATTTTAAATACCACAAACTAAAATGCACACATTATTACAATTCTTTACAGTGGGAATTCCAGTTTTACTTACAAACAGGTATTTTTATTTTCACTTAAACACAGAATATTCTCACTTTCCATGATTATACTTTCTAGGTAAAACACTTTATAATTTGACATTTATTTAAAAACAAAACAAAACAGACAACTTTCCTCTTCTACTGATTATCACCTGTCTGCCTCCTCCTGCTTCTCACCTTGGTGCCTATAAAGATGATGAAGACTTAGTTCTTTATTACTGGAGGGTAATGTTGCTTTAACATTTATAATCATAGGGATTTGAATAGATCAGCAAATTATGCCCTCTAAAGCAAGTTACTCTATGTTATGGGACCCCATGATAGGAAAACATTTAGTTTGTTCTTTTAACTTTTAAATTTTGAAGGAGCTTTAATAGGCTTGCTAGCTGGGCGTGGTGGTTCATGCCTGTAATCCCAGTACTTTGGGAAGCTGAGGTGGATCACCTGAGGTCAGGAGTTCGAGACAAGCCTGACCAACATGGTGAAACCCCGTTTCTACTAAATATAAAACATTACCCGGGCCTGGTGGCTCATGCCTGCAATCCCAGCTACTTAGGAGGCTGAGGCAGGAGAATCACTTGAACCTGGGAAGCAGAGGTTGCGGTGAGCCAAAATCGCTCTCTTGTACTCTAGCCTGGGAAACAAGAGCAAAACTCCGTCTCAAAAAAAAGAAAAAGAAAAAGTTTGCTATTGGTGTGAGTATATCCTTTCTCACCCACAGGAAATCAGCTTTTGGATGGAAAGAAGTACAAACAGCAAATGTGAAACTCACCTTTTCTTTATCTCCCTCAGTTCTCATTCTTTCACCATAGACCAAAAACACATGCTGACCAGGATCATAACACCCAGGGGACTGGTCAACCAGCATCAACTGACACCAGCGGAAAAGGTCTCGGAGGTTGAATTCCCAGGGTCCTCCTTTTTGCCCCCATTTCTTCTCAACAGTCACTTCATGATCAATCTAGAAAGAAAACATCCTGATTGGGAAACATACCCTGCTTGCTACCAGGCAGTGCATTAAGTACTAGGAATGTATCACAAAAACATATGTAATCTGAAACAAGAATTAACGGGCTTGATTCAGATGCCTATTCCTCAAGACTTCCAAATGCCAGGCATACTCTCTAAGCAGTAACACTGGTAGCCACAACACAGAAATAAATTACTGGAAGCCTCCAATATGTAGTGTGCCTTCCACTAGAAACCTGTAGAATTCAAAGTAATTGTTTTTAGTTAGAAATCCCGATAATTTGATAGAACCCTATGTTGAAAAAAATGCTGGTTTCAAATACAGCAAGAAAAAGAAAGAACCAATACATGTAGGTACTTACTTGGTTATTGAAGGCAACCATTTTCTTAACAATATTTTTCTCAATGGCTGGAAACAAAGTACTGGCAATGAACTCCATGTCAATTACTGTAAGGGGATCAACAAAGACCTAGAAAATCCAAAAATAACATGAAGAAACGCCTTTGTTTCTCTTTACCAAACACTAGAAATGACTACTACGTCTTATCATGTAAAATCTTTAACACCAAGTAACATTACATGAGAAATATATATGATTTTGTTACAGAAATTTGTTTTTCTGCATTTTGAGGACAAAGAATCATAACATCTTAATACAGCACAGTAGAGGTTCTGTTTTTAAGGTCTATTCTAGTGAATTAAAGAAAAAAAAAAAGGCTGGGCGTGGTGGCTCACACCTGTAAACTCAGCCCTTTGGGAGGCCGAGGTGGGTGAATCACGAGGTCAAGAGATCAAGACTATCCTGGCAAACATGGTGAAACCCCGCCTCTACCAAAAATACAAAAATTAGCTGGGTGTGGTGGCGCATGCCTATAATCCCATCTACTTGGAAGGCTGAGACAGGAAAATCACTTGAACCCAGGAGGCAGGAGCTGTAGTGAGCCAAAACCAAACCACTGCACTCCAGCCTGGGCAACAGAGTGAGACTCCATCTTAAAAAAAAAAAAGAAAGAAAGAAAGGAAAGGGAAAGGAGAAAAGAGAAAGAGGAGAAAGGAGAAAAGAAAAAAAAGATACATGCAATTTATGTTTTAAAAACTGTTATCAGGCCGGGCACAGTGGCTCATGCCTGTAATACCAGCACTTTGGGAGGCTGAGGTGGGCAGATCATGTGTTTTAATAAAAACTACGTCATTAAAAATTTCTTATATATAATGTAAAATGCTTTTAAATCTGGGTGGTAGAGATGAGTATTCACAATAAAATTCATTCAACTTTTCCATATGTTTGGATTTTTTTTTTTTTTTTTTTGGAAACAAAGTCTCGCCCTGTCACCCAGGCTGGAGTACAGTGGCACAGTGTCGACTCACTGCAACCTCCGCCTCCCGGGTTCAAGCAATTCTCTGCCTCAGCCTCCTGAGTAGCTGGGATTACAGGTGCCAGCCATCATGCCCAGCTAATGTTTATATTTTTAATAGAGATGGGGTTTCATCATTTTGGCCAGGCTGGTCTCCGACTCCTGATCTTATGATCCACCCGCCTTGGCCTGACAAAGTGCTGGGATTACAGGCACAAGTCACTGCACCAAGCCTGAAAATTTTCTTAATACAACATTCTTTTTGTTTTTTGGTCTTTTTTTTTTTTGGAGACGGAGTTTCGCTCTGTTGCCCAGGTTGGAGTGCGGTGGCGAAACCTCAGCTCACTGCAACCTCCTCCTCCTGAGTTCAAGCAATTCTCATGCCTCAGCCTCCTGAGTAGGTGGGATTACAAGCGCCCACCACCATGCCCAGCTAGTTTTTGTATTTTTAGTTGAGACGGGTTTTCGCCATGTTGACCAGGCTGGTCTTGAACTCCTGACCTCAGGTGATCTGCCCGCCTCAGTCTCCCAAAGTGCTGGGATTACAGGCATGAGCCACCGTGCCCAGCCAACGAAACCTTCTTAAAAGATACTCAGCAAATTCTTAATCATAAGAGGCAATGACACTAAAGAAATTTAGAGATGTTTCCAAACCTCTACAATGGCCAAACTCTGAAAATCTGTTGTTAAAACAAGTAAGCATACACAAACACATGTACCCCTCTACAAGTAAGAATAAAGGCATAAGAAACCAAAGTGTTAATAATGACTGACTGGGGAATAGTGGATTCTTATTCTTCATGGTAGCTTCCTGTTCCTTCTTACTTTTCTTTAGTTAAAATGCATTATTTTCATTGAAAATTTTTCTTACATGTTTCAATAGATCAGAGGGACAACTGAAAAGGTCCGAGATTGGACTTCATCCCAGAGTGCAAAGTAACAGAATCTTAAAGAGGCTGGGGAACTTTCTTCCAACTGTTAACACATCTAGTGTTCTGGGACAAAAGATGGACAGAAGCAATGTTGGGAATCAGTTGCATTACTATTGATCACATAAGGACAAGAAAGAGTACTGTTAAGCTCATTCTCATAGTGAACATCCTTAAAGGCTTTGTGATAGTGGTCTTATCCCGTCATAGTCTACCTTTGGTCTCTGCGGCAACAGCAAATCTTACCTGAGTGAATCTGTTAAGGAAAGACCTGGGCAAGCCTTTCCTCCCACCTCCTTGTCTAAAGGGATTTTGACACCCAAAAATCTTGGTCTTCTCATGCTGAACTTGAAAGCTCATTCCTAACTCAGGCACATAGATTTCTCCTCGGTGGTCAAAACAAGCATTGAGTCCTTCCAATACAGACTGAGAAGCCAGGTTAAGCTATTTAAAAAAGAAAGTACATATATTTGTCTCAAATATGCTGCACAACTGCAACAAAAAGCAGGGGGATAATATGCAGCAAAGAAAGGCAGTGTTATCTTCATAAGGTGGAATTTCAAACAATATTGATAACCTTCTATATTTTAGGCTGAGTTATGAGTTGTTTGTATTCATTCCATTATTATTCTGTTTTGTTTCTGAGCTAGGGTTTCACTCTGTCACCCAGGCTGGAGTGCAGTGGCATGATCATGGCTCACTGCAGCCTCCAGCTCCAGGGCTCAAGAGATCCTCCCAGCACAGCCTGCTGCACAACTGTGACCACAGACATGCATCACCACACTCAGCTAATTTTTTTTTGGTAGAGCCAAGGTGTCGCTATGTTGTCCTGGAAGGTCCCAAGTCCTGGGCTCAAGTAATTCTCTACCTTTAGCCTCTCAATGTTAGAATTATGGGCATGAGCCACCGTACCTGGCCAATTCTATTATTCTTCATTTCACATGTATGTTAAAGAGATTTTGGCTGGTATTTTATATAGCACATACATATGTGTATATACACATATGTGTTAAATATGTATAAGTGTATATACATATATACGCATTGTTATATATATACACACATATTAATAATCTTCAAACTAAATGCTCAAATTAAATTTTAAAGTTAAAAATTTTCTTAAAAGTTAAACTATATCCATTATATGCACCTATATTAACCTGCTCTGTAAGTAATAACTTAAAAAATTTTTAAGTTATACATATATACACATTGTGTTATATATATACACATATTAATAATCTTCAAACTAAATGCTCAAATTACATTTTAAAGTTAAAAATTTTCTTAAAATTTAAACTATATCCATTATATGCACCTATATTAACCTGCTCTGTAAGTAATAACTTAAAAAATTTTTGCCAATACACAGATATTTCATTTTTACAATCTGAGTTTTTAAGATGCATAACACTAATTGACCAGGCATGGTGGCTAATGCCCGTAATCCCAGCACTTTGGAAGGTTGAGGCAGGTGGATCACTTGAGGCCAAGAGTTTAAGACCAGCTGGGCCAACATGGCAAAACCTTGTCTCTCATAAAAATACAAAACTTAGGTGTAGTAACGCACACCCGTAATCCCAGGTACTCAGGTGGCTGAGGCGGGAGATTCGCCCAGGAGGAGGAAGTTACATTGAGCCAAGAATGCACCACTGCACTCCAGCCTGGGTGACAGACCGAGACTCTGCCTTAAAAAATAAAAAAGAAAGGTAAAGAAAAAGACATGTAACACTAATTGTAGAGAATAGATAAGGTTTGCTAACTCTTTAAACACTTTCCCATTTCAAACACTGAATAAAATCTCCAATGGGTTTCAAAGTCAGGATATAAACAACATAAAGTTAGTCAATACAGCTAATTTCCACCAACTTTGACAAGAACAATTACAAGGGGATCTTGTGCCAGAAATGAAAAGAGCTGAATGGAAGTCTTCAGATGAGTAGTTCAGAGCTCAGGGATGGGAAGCATGTGTGGTTTGTTGGTAACATAGAAAAAAAAGGAGATTGGGAAAATACAAATTAATAAAATACAAACAGGTAAAAATCAGAGCATACTACATTGGAATTTCAAGTGTCATGTTTACATAAGCACTACCAAGCACAAACACCTCTGTATATTCCCAAACAGAAAGCCACTCTTAGGTGTGTTTTATCTAGAATGTCTTGCAGTCCCTGAACGCAATTCCACTAAATGCTAAGTATCATCAGTAGCCTTCAGCTTTAAAACTAGGCTTTCTCTTTTCCTGGCTAATATATATTCTATCAGACATTCTGTTTAAAAAAAAAAAAAAAAAA